CAATCACATCGTGCCCATTGCGGGATGTCAGTAGCTGCGTAACCAAATCCATTGTCACGCTTTCCCACACCTCCGTTGGAATGGGAAGGGGCTGCAGTAATCCACCCGGCTTAGCATTTGTTGGTTTGTTACGCTGACATTGGGGACATGATTTGACGTGTTCTTTAACGTCAGAGTCAAGCCCTGGCCACCAATATGATTGTGCGATCGCTTGTTTGGTGCGGTCTATACCGCGGTGGCCTGCGTAAGGGACATCATGATACTCGGTCAAGATGGCTCTTCGCAGTTCAGCGTTTTGAGGGACATAGATCTGGTTTCCCCGATACCAGAATCCATTCCTTCGTTTTAACTGCAGCTTGGCTACTCTTGATTTAGCAAGGTTTGGATCACCATCGTACCCGCTTTTGATTCGGTGTCCCAAGTCGCTGTCCGCCAGCGAGGCCGTGAGCACATTAAGCACCGTGTCGTGAACCCGACTAATAGGGTCTGCGACATTAATCCGTCCGGGTCGGTACTCCCAAGTGAACTGGAATCGAGACAATCGTTCCAACCAACGAGCTTGCCTTCTGGAAAGTTTATCGGCGCTTTTCTGCTCTTGCAGATAGACCAAAGGCTGATGGTCCGTTACTAGGGTGACATGACTCGCACCTTCCAAGTAACAACGCCATTCTTCCATAGCCAGGACTGTGCCCAAGCATTCTTGATCTGTGGTGGAATAATTGTATTCCGCGCTGCTGAATTTAGAACTTGTATAAGCAACTGGTCGGTCGTCTTGTAACAAGACAGCGCCAGTGCCATGCAGCGACGCATCAGACCAAACTACGAAGGGTTTGTCAAGCTCAGGGAGTTTTAATACTGGTGCGTTTGTCAAGGCATCTTTCACACCCTGAAAGGCAGTATCACACTCCTTTGTCCAGTGGAAGGGCACTTTCGCACTTGTTAGGGTTGTGAGGGGGGCCACGAGAGAGGAATAACCCTGGATAAACCTCCGAAAATAATTGGCTAAGCCAAGAAACGCGCGAAGTTTAGAGGCGTCGGTTGGTACCGGCCATTCTTTCACAACTTTAACTTTGCGCTCGTCTACTTTCAAGCCGTCACGGCTGACTACGTGGCCCAGGAAGTGCAGTTCGGTCCGGTTGAACTGACACTTAGACATTTTTGCCTTGAATTCGTGCTTTCTAAGCAAGGACAACACCACCCTTAGGTGTTGTTCATGCTCGGCCTTGGTCTTACTGAAGACCAGAATGTCGTCCAAGTACACCAGCACAAATTTGCCAATGTGTTCGGCAAAGATCCGATTCATCACCGCTTGGAACGTAGCAGGGGCGTTTGTGAGTCCAAAGCACAGCACTTTGAACTGGTATTGGCCCATTCCCGGAGCGATAAAGGCCGTTTTTGCAACATCCTCTGGTGTAATGCGAATTTGGTTGTAGCCCTGCTGTAAGTCCAGGGAACTAAATATCTTAGCCCCTTGGAGTTGATCGAAGAGGTCAGTAATGTTTGGCATAGGATACCGCCGCTTGATCGTGATTTTGTTTAATGCACGGTAATCCAAGACCATGCGAAGGCCCTGACCGTTAGCTTTTTCCACAAAGATAACGGGCGCACCATAAGGAGAAGTAGAGGGTTCTATGTAGCCCTTACTCAACAATTCGGTGACTTGTTTACGGACCTCTTGGCGCTCTAATTGAGTCAACCAGTACGATCGTTTAGCGGGCGGTACAGCCCCTTCCACTAGTGGAATCGTATGACCTACTTCGCGATCTGGAGGAAGGCCTTTGAGCTCTTCGAATACGTCCTTGTATTCGTCAAGCAACCCCTGCAATGTTGCTTCGGGGATGATGTCGGTGTCGGGAGGAAGTGACTCCGCAGACGCCGAGGATCCAGAAATGAGCTCAGATTGCACAAGCATTAAATAGCTTCATGCGCCTTTGGTAATCCTCCCTGCAGCTGCTTTAGCTGACATCATTTCCACCGTACTCGCAGCATAGAGAGTGGCGGTAACGTAATTCATGATGGCAATACCATCTAGGTGATCGTCGTCGTCTGCTGAAGACCAAAAGGAAGGCCTCAGGACAACAGTATCGCCGGCAGTGTACGGGCCGAAACCTTACTGACAATGCCGAAATAGTTTCCGTTTTTTGGACCCTTCTGCAAAACCTGCCGGAACCTGCCGGAACCTGCCGGAACCTGCCGAAACCCTGAAAATGCTGTATTTTATGACGTCCATGGTATGCAAACGTTGTTCGTGGGCCCTATGTGCCTTTGCGCCTCATGGGACCTGTGCCCTGTCGAAGTGTAGCAGCCGGTACACAGTATGGTGCTATAAATACGCGCAGAGCGCGACCGCCAGCAACTCGAGAGACCTTTTCAGCGGTCAGCTGCTACATTTGGTATCGAGACCTCGTGAAAATTCACGATCCTGAAGTCGTCGGTTCAACCCCCACCGATCACGTTCGAGTGGTATTTCGGGTGTGGCGACTCAGTGAGCGAATATCGCACTAAAACTATAAAACAAAAGTAGCTGAACCGACTGGACTGTCTCTGTGCCTGAAAAACCTGAAGGCTAGGCGCATGTGAAGCGGGCACATGACGTGACGTGGGCTTGGTCACCCCACTGCCCGAGGGTAGGAGAAGGTAGGCACAGGCTGGCGGTATACGAGGCTCTAAAGGGCCCGGGACGGTTCCCTTCAAAGGGGGGGGAATGTAGCAGCCGGTACACAGTACGGTGCTATAAATACGCGCAGAGCGCGACCGCCAGCAACTCGAGAGACCTTTTCAGCGGTCAGCTGCTACACGAAGTGCTGCTTCAGCGTTGTCTGGCAGTCCTTGCGTGTCAAGGTGCGAGTCGAGGCGCTGCAGGCGTCCTTGGTCACTACTGCCTGCAGCTCGTGCCGGACCTCAGGCGGGACGGGTCCCGCGCACTTTTGCGCGATATGGACGCGCATCTCCTGAAGGCGCCCTTGCTTGGACTCGGTCCGGCAGTACTTGCAGATGATAGTCCAGTTCTTACACTTTGCATTATATTTTTTCTTCTCAAAGTGAGCCCAAACGGTCTGATCAGCGGTCCTTCCGCCCTTGTTTTTGACCGAATCTGTGTCTGCACTGACAACAGAAGTTGTCTGAGACATTGATAAGATAAACTCAACATTCGCAGAGTTTCGCAGCCTTGCACAACGCGCCTACACTTTGAAACTATTCAAAGTAGGTTCCGCCGTACGGCGCTAGCCGAAAGGGGCCGAAACTAGTTTCGGCATTTCCGCAGAACCAGGACCTCTTCGCCGGAATCACCGAAACTAGTTTCGGCAGGTTTCCGTTTCGGCAGGTTTCCGTTTCGGCCCGAACACTGATCGCCGGTAGCTTTCCGCACTGTAAGCGTGTGTGATTCCCAACACATTCTCGCTTTCTTGCGCTCCAACCAGTCATCAGCGAGAATAATTTCAACGCCTGGAACACCTTGCTTTAAAACAAGTAGTGTGACTGTTTCATGAAAGGAGCCTATACGGAGCTTAGCGGTAATCGAGCCATTGATAAGCTCGTGAGTTCCGTTCGCGACGCGAACAGTAGAGATAGTGCAAGGACGGACAGAAAGAGCCATCCTGCGGACAGCTTCGAGAGAAATGAAGCCGTCGGCAACTCGGCCGCAATTGGCACCGGAGTCGGCAAGAACTTTGCAAGCCGTTTGACACAAGCGAGCATCAAAAAGCATAGTGCGGCCATTGCTATCCAAGCTGTTAAGCTGCACCGATTTGGACGGCGGGTCATACCAAAGCTGTAATGGCCAAGGGATGCCCGGCAAGTCCGAACGCGTTCCAACGTCTACTGGTTGGGAGAACAACTGTGTTCCAACAGCATAAGTTTTGAGTAGCTGGTATCCAGCGGAACGCATAAGACACTCGACTTGAGTCCATTTAGGGTGTGTTCACATGTAGTCCAATTGAGAGTCTGATTGGGAGTCCGATTCGGGGCGGCTTTCTGAATTGTGTTCACATACGATTGCGGCCACCGCGCGAGGTGCCACCGCGCCCAGCTGAAGCTCCGCGGCTACGCCCCATCACCCAAGGCAAGCCAGCATTATCTAGGAACAGAACAGTATAAGTATCGTTTCTATGGCGAAAATTATCACCAGGCTTGTACATACATAGCTGCAGGAGTTCGTGAAAAATGCTCGGTGCGCTTTGCGTGAATTAACAATTGGAAAATGTTCCTATAGTATTGTAATGGTAATTATGAGAAACGGTTTGTTAAACAACTTTGTTTTGAGAAAGAAAACTGTGAATCACGTCGAATCATACCCGAAGAGGCCCCCCCGGACCCCAATTCCGATTCGGGTCCAATCAGGTTCAATTCAGAGTCCAATTCGCATGAATCAACCCTGATTCGCCCACATGTGAACACGTCCTTAGGAACGACGAACACCGCAGAAGTTGTTTTAGGATTTTTTAGCTTACAGCGGTGGTAATGTTGCTGCCATTCTTTAATATGAGTGTATGGGGGATTGATCCAAACAAACTCGCCAGAGACGTCGGTATCAAAGAACGAGTTGGATGGAGAGGCAAAGCGCGAACAGAGACTGTTGTCGCCCGAGTCGTTACAAGCGGCATCGAACGTAAATTGACGCCCAAGTTCGTTCTCAACCCTTCGAAATTCATCACGAAGGAACATCCGATCACATATCAACGGATCGCAAACGGGCGGAACAACAGAGTCCCTAATCTTCAAGTCAGGCTCGGCAGAAGAGACTTCGTCTACAGGTGCTACAGCACTAACGGCCTGCTTGCAAGACACCCCCTCGCGCTTGCCAGCATCCTAATTAGCCGGTCGGTTCGCGTTTAAACTAGCCGTCTTCTCCTGTAGGGTTGGCAAAAATACTATATTGATTTTCCCAAATAGTATAGTATAGTATGAAATAGTACTATATATAGTAATATAGTACTATGATACTATTACTATGCAGGTACAAGCTCCCTGTAGAAGGGGGGTGTACGACCAACCGTTGTACCTGAAAATTACACCGTTGGAAAGGTCTTCTTTTGTTCTTTCTGAATATTTACTTAGACATGAGAAAGCAGATCGCTGTGGTCATCCAGAACACTTTTTGTTACTTCGGTGCCCGGTAGGTGGACCTCAAACCCCATGTCTCAAGGCGTGTTATGGCACATAAAGACATAATCACAGATAGAAGACCCAGCGTTGACAAGACAACACAAGGACGCCATACTAGTGAAGTTCCTGCACTACAACGGCCCAGTATGTAACCCTCCAATTCAGCAAACTGCCGCAGCTCAATCTATCGTTGCTCAGTCATCAATCTGCGTGTTAGGGTGTACGTTTCCCTGCTGCTGCTGCTGCTGCTGCTGTGCTTCCTGCTCCTGCTCGTCCTCCTCGCACTGCTGGAGAATCAGCTCCACCTCATCCGCCGCAGCGCCTTGGTTGCCCTGCAAGCCTGCATTGCCACGGATGTAAACGATCTTCTCCGCCCACTCAATGGCCAGCCGATTGCGCGCCTTCGTGTAGACGAGGCCCCATGCCGACCAGTTGCGCTCGGACGAGCAGGTTGATGCGTGCATCAGCAGCAAGCGAATGGCTGCCGATGCAATCAGTGGGAATTGTGCGGCGAGGTGCACATCCCAGTAGCTGATGCAGTCATCCAGCGAAGCCCCCATCACACGGGTGCTGCTGTCAGGCAACAATTTCTCCTTGTGCATGCGCATAAGCTCAGACCACTCATCGAACGCTTTGGGAATGCCCAGTCCCAGGCGTGTCCACTCTTCCCCAACCCGGTCCCGCTTAGCTGCATCTTTGCCTGCGGCCAGATCCTGGATTAGGACCTTCGCCGCTGACTTCTCCTCCAGCTCCAGCTGGCCGAGCGGTAACATGTACCGGTTGGTAAGCGACACATCAATATTGCGCGGGTCCAGCAGGAATGCTGCAAACCAGCAGGCGTTGACCTGCTTGTCGTAGCGCCGTTTCAGCAGGTCGTACAGCCCTGGGCAGTCGGTGTTTGCCTCATCAAAGTCCCTTGCTGTTGCAAGCAGGGCCTTCCAGACCGGGTACATCTGGGAGGGATGGGAGAAAACATGGGAAGCGTATGGGGGACGGGTCACTGAGTGAAAGGTGATGCCTGATGGGGTCTGGGGCAAACATGGGACACACATCCTTTCGCCCAAACCCTTAAATCATCTTTGCACCTGGCTCAGCATCGGTCTGTCGCACTCCAGCTTGTGCAGCGCCTTGGAAATGGGCTCGCAAAACTCCGCCAGCTTGGCGCCCTTCGAAAAGAGGCCCAAGTTCCGGGAACTGCCCTCACCCTCGACCATGGCTTTAAACTCCTGCGCCTTTGAGGTGCCGTCGCTGGCGCCAGCCCACGCCTCCTTGTTGCGCACCATGGCCTTCAGTGCATCCTCATTCGCCAGCACGTCACTTAGAACAAAATAGTTCACAGCGAAGCGGGTTGGGGTGTTGGCGGTAATGGCCGACTTCTTGCCGTACTTCTCCATCTGGTGCACGCCCAGCAAAGCCCGGATGCGCTCCGAGTCGCCAACCACTGTGGAGATGGTGATAGAAGCGTTGAAGATCTTGGCCGCCCACTTGACGTTCTTCTCCTTCGCCAGGTCCTTAAAAACAAGCGCCATGCCGTGTACCCCGCAGCCCACACCCAGCCAGCGGGGGTTTTCAATGCGCAGCAGCTGGATGGCGGCCAGGTTGGTCGCCGTGTTGTCCATTACGAAGCCGATGCAGTCGTCAGGCTTGGTGAACGCTTCCGCCACCACATCCAGGTGGATCTGCAGTGCAGGTTAATTAGCTTAAGTACGGTTTCAATAAATTACGATCACGGCAGACGGCACCAAAGACTAAACATATCCGCACATAACGTACCTTTTTGATGTACTGCGCGTCCTTCCGTACACCAGCTGCACGCACGACACGCAGGAAGGCCGAGCCCGTTGGCAGCAGCAGCATGAAGTTGATGAGCGGCACCCCCTGCTCAGCGGCACGCTTGCGCCAGCCATCTGAGCAGAGTGCAGCTTGGCCACACATGCGCTGCCTGACCTGCGCCACCTGCGCCTTAACCTTGCTGTAGGCGCGGTCCAGCATTGGCCCCATCAACTGCTTCCGGTTCGGCAGGGTGACGCCCAGCAGCCCGAATAGGTTCCGCAACTCGGGCTTCTCGATCAGGTGAATAGGCACGTTGTTCCTGTAGAAGAACATGCCAAGCTCCTCCACGACTTGCCCCGTGAGAGTCGCGGGAATCACTGGGAGGAGGGTCTGGCCATCAATGCCGCGCCGGCGCTTGGAGAGGGCCTGCTGATCCGCCGTGCTGGGGCCCGCCGCAGCAGAGCTGGTTCCACTCTGTTGCTGTTGCTGGCTGAGTGACGCTGCACGCTGTTTGATAGCCTTGCAAGCACCTTGCTTGATGTGGTGCGCGTTGGTAAAGGATGGGTTCACTGCGCTGAGCGGCTCATCGCAGAACAGGCAGACTAGCTTTGGTACACCACCCCACCACTCCACATTGAAGTTGTCCCAATGACTACCCGTCTTGGCGTTCTTCTTCTGGTTACGAAGCTTGTTAAAAAGCTCGTTCCGAGAACGGAGAACTTCAGACGGGACGTCTGGACCAGGAAGCAAGCCTCTGATCGCCTTCTCATCCTTTATACTGGATTCCTTTGATATTATTCATCAATAACTACGTAGCACAGCTCGAAGACGCGGCTATAGCCCTTCAAAATACAGCTTGACTGCAGATCTCGACTTGGTCCAACTAGTACTGGACACTATCCAACCCCAAATCTAGTACTATATAGTACTATTTTTACTATACTATTTTACTATGTACGAACGCGGTACGAGCGTCGTAAACTAGTACCAGTCTAGAGCCCTGCATAGTAAATAGTACTATATATAGTACTATTATAGTATAGTACTCTTTTCTAGTATAGTACCCGTGCCAACCCTATTCTCCTGCAGTCGGGCCATCTGCTCCTGCAGGTGGTGAAGGCAGACCTTCTTGTGCTCTTCCCAAGTCTGGTTTGCCGGTTTGAGGCGAGAGCACATCCGACACTTGAGAAGAGTACCGGACGTTGACGTCCGCGGTTTCTTCGCACGAACCGTTTCCCAGGCCTGTTTGGAAGGGGACCGAGGGCGAGATTGCTTAGGGTGAGAGGAGGAAGTAATCTTAGACGGGCCAGCTTGTGTAGTAACTACAGCAAGCTGTGCTTTGTCCTTTCCGGCTTTCCACCGAACCTCCTGACCGCTAGCATACAGGATTAGCTTCTCTAAATCCTGCCAATCTTTACCCTCATCGTCCATAGCGCAGCGACCGCGCAGCGCAGGAACTAAGCCCTTGATATACCAAGAGATTTGATCCACAACACTCATGTCATTCGCTTCGCGAACAATATCGTAAAAGCGCTGCGTATACTCCGGTACGGACTCATCTATTTTCATATCGTACTCGTGTGCATGCAAACGATCGCGTGCGGCCATGGCGGTGTCGCGCTTCGCATCCCCATATTGTAACAGGAATTTATCACGCAACAAATCACGAGTAAGTGGTTGCATGCTGGACTTGTGCTTAAGGAAAAGATCTGCGGCCCACTCCTGAGCCTTGCCCGTAAGCCAAAACATAAAGTGCTCAAGCGGGTCCATTTGCGACAAGTCAAAATATTGCATGAGAAGGACCACCGGCTTGCTTGGCGATGCCCTCGCTCCAGAGCTGCTTGACCTCATCCAAACGGACTTCGGGATTAAGGTGGCGCTGCAGAAGCGCCTGGAAAGCGCAATTCTGCAGCATATCCACGTCTAGAAACGCGGCCAGATTGCTGTCCAGCGTCTCGCAGATGCCATCAATAATTATCGACTTACGCCGAGTGTCCGACGTACTCGGAGGCGGCGGTGACAAATCCCGAAGCTGCGCTTGGACATCCTTCAGGGCAGAGGTTATTTCGCCCAAGCGCTCGCCATATTCGGCGAGAATGCCGTGAACCTCTCCCTTAAAGGAAGATAATTCCGCTTGAAGAGCGGGGACTTGATTTTCGCGAGCCGCGCGAAGCATTTCCTGGACCTGCGCGGCTGCCGCAGCCTGTGCTGGTGTACGCGCCGGAAGCCCGCCCTTAGAAGGCGAGGCACGCTGCGCGGTATCCGATGGCGATTCCGCCGGAGAATCAACGTCCATCTGTGGACAATTAACAGGAATATTATTAATATGGTGTTCCTTATTGGGAATAGCCAAAGGGCGTTCGTCTTCGTTGTCGGAATCAGTGGCCTCGGTCGCAGTAGGGTCCTGTTCCTGAAGGGATGCTTCGCGATACCTTTCATACGATTTTTGAAGCTTAAGGAATTTAGTCAAACGCCTTTGCGCGGCCTTACTATAGCGCATTGCGTCAAGGAGGATCGAACTTGACGCTCGATACCAATGTAGCAGTCGCTCACCTGACGGGAGGACTGACAGAGCGGAAGCGTGGAGTTATTAGTCCTCGCCGATGTAGGAAGAAGTCCAACCAAGCGGCAAGCACTAGCGTACATAAGACGTGTACGTAACGGTTAGAGATGGCGGCAGCGGAGTCTTGAACTCCGAACACCTAGTAATGTGATACGTCAGTGTCTGGCCAGAACACCCCGCCCGGGTAGCTTATATCTCGGCCTACCTGCCGGATAATCTCTACTACGGACCTTGCCGTACTAGGATAATGTTGGTGGGGCCCGGGGCCCCAGCCCGTTAGATTCGCTTACGAACAGCTGCCCAGTTTGCGACATGTGACGAAACTCGGAACATGTACGAAACTTGAGTCAGATCGTTTAACAAATTAACAGTTATTGTTAAAAGTAATCGTTAAAATATTCTAAGGGAAATGTAGCTTGCTACACACCGCTACCCACCTGGGATCCCGGGAACCAGTGATGGAGCTGCAGGTGTCAGGGATACAGGCTGCGGTAGCAGCCCAAATCCCTACACCAGCTGCAGTGGAGATAGGTTCCACCTCCGCACCACGGCCACCACCGTCCCCACAGAGCAAAGGTGGCCCAGACTTGCAGCCAGGGCCCAGCAGCAGCAGAGCCCTTCCTCCCCAGCCCAACGGCAGTGGCGGCAGCGGCAGCAAACCTGCCACCCAGCCCCGTGGGAACAACACAGAGGGTTCCCCCGGGGACGCAGGGTGGATGCGGCAGGAGAAGAGGGGTAAGAAAACCCCCATTCCCGAACCTCAGGAGGCCAGGCAGGAGACAGTGGTTGCAGAACCACACCAGGCAGCCGACCCAACTCCTGGAGCCACCATAGCTGCCGACGCCCCACCCCCAACACCACAACTGCACCCACACACTCCGCCCTGGGATTGGAGACAACGCACATGGAAATGGAGGCGGAGCAGACCCAGGCGGAATCGGACCTGGCAGACGAGGGGAACCCGTACTCAGTGCTGGCGGAGTTGAGGGATGAGGAGGAGAACCCCCCAGGGCAAACCAAGGCACCTGGCGCAGCGGCCACGGCCCCCCACCCGGAGCAAAACACGGCACCTGGTGCAGCGGCCACGACCCCCCCCCTGGAGCAAAACACGGCACCTGACGCAGCGGCCACTAAACCCCCCCTGAGGCGGACCACGGCACCTGATGCAATGAGCCTCAGGATAGAGGAGAGGGCTCAGGAGGCGGCCAACCCACCACCAGGACAGCCCAAGCAGCCCCAGGTGGCCATTGTCTTCGGGACACCCCACAAGGCAGCTGCCATCCAACTCACGCCTATCCGGGAACAGCCTTGGAAACCGGTAGCGGAACAAGCCGGCCCTGCCAACCATGCACAGACAAACAGGGAATGGCCATCTCCCCCGCCAACTCAGGCAGCCGGGAAGAACACCACAATGGGCTCCCCGAAAACACAGGCGGCTGCCCTCTTTGCCCAGGTGGAGCCGATCCAGCTGCAAATGACACAGCCCATGACCCGGAGTACAGCGACGGCAGCCAAAGCGCAACTAACCCACATAGCAATAGTGAAGAAACAGCGCAGGCCAGACCTACGCGACCAAGCGCGGAAGGATCACTTCAAAAAGCTGACTGAGCCGGCAAGGACAGCCCGCAGACAGAGCGCAGAGCTAGCCCGGCAGGCCAAAGAGGCCCGGGAAGCCAGACACCGAGAGGCCGGAAAGCAGAAACGCGGAGACATATGGCAGGCCAATCGGAAAAATCGGATAGCAAAGACCGGGGGCGCTACAACAGGAAAAACGGTAGAGGACATCGCTATGGAGGAGGAGGCAGGCGCAAGGCAGGGACCGGAGGCAACAGAGAAGGAAGCCAGCGACCCAGGTTCGCCCCAGGCAGGCTCCCAAATTTCCAGCCTGATTCTCCAAGTCCCCACGGTGACTCAGCCCGACGTTGAGACAGAATCCCCACCCGGAGAGGGTTCTTCGGTCAGCCATACCCAACAAACCTAACCTGCCGCCAGCAACCAATGGAAACCGCCAGCGGGGCGCCACTAGGGGCCACCCCCTTCGGATTGCTACGCACAACGTGCAAGGCATGACGGCAAAACATACTGCAAAAATACATGCGGCGGCCAAGCTGTGGACAGAGATGGGACTTGATGTGGTGTGCCTTCAGGAGACCCACCATACTAATGCCCATGACCAGAGTCGACTGGAGAAAGAGCTAAACATGGCATCACAGGCGATGCACACCAGGGGATGGAAAGTGGCTGCACACTCGTGGGCCAACTCTTCCCACACAGCAGGAGTTCTCATCCTAGTCCGTCGGGATCTGACTGCTATCGTGGAAAACCCGCCACCCATCCCCGTGGTCCGAGGGAGATTTGCCAGCTGTATACTACGCTGGGGAGGACACCGCATCCACATCTGCAACATTTATGGCCCCACGGGTACCTCAGCACACGTGAACCCCCTCCGACAACAGCTGTTCACAACCACACTGCCAGCCACAACCAAGCATGCAGCCGAGAACAGTGACACCATGCTGGTCTGGGCAGGTGACTTCAACTTTGTGGAAGACCCAGGGCTGGACTCCACAGCGGGTCCAGGAGGGCGACGGGGAGATGGCCCAACAGTGGACCTTCTTCGGGCAGCAGGCCCCACCATGGTGGACAGCCACCGCCAGCTGCACCCCCACAGTTGCGACTACACCCACTTCTACAGAGCTCCCTGCGTCGGGGCCTCCCGCCTAGACCGCATCTATGTAGACCATGGCACCATGCCGTACATTGCTAAGACAGAGATTGCCGTGCAAACACCGTCGGATCACAAGCCAATGGTCATGCACCTGCTGCCGTGCCGACCAGAGAGCAAGGGCCCAGGGAACCGACGAGTGCGGCTGGCCTTCACATCACACCAGGACTTAGCCGCAAGCATGGAGGCATGGATCACCAGCCAGTGTGCCACAGCACCATCTGCGGAGGACAACCCTTTGGGCCTGATTGCGTGGTGGCCAGTTTTTAAATGCCGGCTGAGCACCCTGGCCCTTCAGCTCAACAAGGCGGCACAACACCGCAAGCTCAGACCAGGGGCCCGGGCTCGGGAAGTGTTACCGCAGGTCCAGTTGGCAAGGCAAGCGGTGGATGCAGCCCCCACAGCACAACAGCCACTCCAACAACTGGTCGAAGCCCAGGCAATGCTCGCACGAGCACATCGGGAAGACTGCCGGAAGGATGCCATGGAGGCCCGCACCCACTGGCTGCGGGCAGGGGAGAGGCTGAGCCCATCCCTTACAGCCTTCCTCCAGGCCCAGGCTATAGACCAACAACCAGCCCCTGTCGCCCTGCAAGCCTTGTCCGGCCGACTTGTTACCAACCCCGCTCAGCTGCCCCAGGTGGTAGCCGACTTCTGGAAGGATGTGAGCAAGGCCCCGGACTTCATCTGCCCCCAGGCCCGCCAAGCCGTTCTGAACTCCCTCACCGCAGCCAACATTAAATTCCCAGCAGAGGCAGATGAACAGCTTGGAGCCAAAAAGATCACAGCCACCGAACTGCGGAAGGCACTCAAGAAGAGCGCACCTGGCAAGGCCCCAGGGTGGGATGGGATTCCAGCTGTATTGTCACTTGAGGTTGAGCTGAGGGAGCAGTCCGAGCCTACTCCTACGGAGCTGCAGCAGCAGAAGCAGAAGCAGCGAATATCACAAGGTCATCAGCCATCGGTTGGGTCCACCAGGTTGCCGGGCCCGTCGATTTCGGCAGGGACTGATGACGAGCAAGCGGAGCAACAGCCGCAGGCCATGTCTTCGACACTCTCATTAGAAGTTCGGATGCTCGAACCCACCACGGTAATTGAGGAGCAGCTCACACCGTTATTCAAACCACCCGATGCTGGACTAGAAGATCTTTCCCTTCCAGTGGCAGAGGAACCACCGATAATGCCGCCGACGCTGTCACTAGAGGTCAGGATGTGCGAGGCCCCATCATCAACACCACCAGCAGAGCAACAGCCGGCAGTACTCAGCAGTAAGCATTCAACATCGGCAGCAGTGCCATCATCTTCCCAGCAGGCCAGCGGCATGCAGAAGCCATCATCACCATTGACGACGACCGCGGTTGATCACGAGCAACAGCTAATGCCGTCGGCACTGTCCCTTGAGGTCAAGTTGTTGGAGACTTCCATGCCACAGGCATGGGAGCAACAGCTTTCGCAACCAATGCTGCCACGTGACGATGTTGGCGAGCTACCAGAGCGCCCACTGCTAGTAGCGGATGAAGAGCTCATACCATCAATGCTATCCATGGAGGTCAAGCTGCTGGATCCTTCAGTGCCTGAATCGGCAGGGGACCAACACCATCTGCCATTACCCTCGACGCTTTCCCTGGAGGTTAAGCTCCTGGAGACTTTCACAGCGCCAGCAACAACAGGAGGGCAGGAGCAAGTGCCGGCACAAGGGGTTGATCTACAGCAGGAGCAATCCTCTGTACCGGGGTCACAGCAGCAGCAGCAGCAGCAGCAGCAGCAGCCATTACTCCCGGCATTCCCACTTGAGGTAAAGCTCCCGGACCCTTTTGCAGTGGCAACAGCAGGAGGGCAGCAGTCAGGGCAAACAACACCATCTAGAGAGGTGGAGCTGCAGCAGGAACCGCTCTCAAAGCAAGGATCCATCCAGCAGCAAGAGCAGCAGCAACAGCAGCAACAACAACCGCCATTATTCTCAACACTCTCGCTTGAGGTCAAGCTACTGGAGCCTTTAGGAACAGGAGAAGAAAAGCCAATATCATCAACAATATCGCTGGAGGTCAGATTCTCATGTCTGGACCAAACGCAAACACCAACCGCAGGTGTTGGTTTCCTTGGCGGCATGGTAACCTCCTCTCTACAGTCGCGTATCTCAGAACACCCAGGTCCATCACACTCTCTGCAGCTTCACATGCCAATAACAGCCGTTCCTGGAGGCCCGGCGACCGGTCGCCGCTGGCGACACATCCTGACACAAGTCTGCGTGTCTGCCCTGTGCATCACCATCCTGCCGCGGGTGATTCCGGCTGTGCTCAAGGCATGTGGCCAGAATGCGGTCAGCAGGCATCTGGAACGGGCAGCTGCTGCAGCAGTGCGTGAAGGGGCATTCGCGGCTTCGCCAATAGCTGCTGCGGTTGGTGATGG